GTGTGTGTGTGTGTGTGTGTGTGTGTGTGTGTGTGTTGGTGGGGGAGGGATGACAGAGACAGATAATTGGAGACACAGAGAGGTGGAGAACCTTTAAAAATGTGGTTAATGCTTTTCTAAATTTCTATTTGTTTTCCTAGGCAAACAGTCTTATGTAAACTTATTTTCATAAGACAAATGCTATTCTCCTCCTCTTTCCTGGTTGATGGGCCACCTCAGTGAAATCCCTGATTTGACGTTTGAGTCCCTACTATGTATGCAGACACTGTGTGAGCGTCTGCCTCATGAAAACAGATGACAACCTCTGGCTTTCACTGGATCTACTTCAGGCATTTGTCTTTTCTTTTTACTGCCTATGAGAAAACCCTCAATACATGATCTTTTATTTTCTTAGCCTTGGAGGAGGGGTGGTTTTCTATCTCACCCAGGTTTGAACCATTCTGACACACACAGAAAATGTGGTGAACTTAAAGATGTCGGCTTCAGAACAAAAACCCTACTTTAATTGGCTTGGCCTCTCTTTTCGACTTACCAGGTAGGAAAACGTAGATAATAAATCTAGAGGTGAGTGCTTATTCCTCCTTGTCCTGTTTTTTTCTTCTTCTTCTTCTTCCTTCTTAAAAGTTATCGGGGCCTGCTTGAATTATGGTGCATTTTTTCTTGTCAGAGTTGATTTGATTTCTGGCCCCCTCGCCTCCCAGCCTCCACTCTGGGTAATGATGCAGGGGTGGCAGATTGATGGGGAAGGCATTCAAAATGCTGCTTTGGACCTGGATTTCAGCATGCGTGCTGTCTGCCACCAGAGACATTTAGCAGATGGGCTTGGAGAGGTGGGATTGGGCCTTCACAGGAGGGGCCTGGGGGAAGCCGTTCCCTGGGGGACAGGGCTGGCTCTGCCCTTTCTCACCTAGTCATTTTGGCCCTGGCCCATGTCCCATTTGCCACAGCATCCATGGACGCAGCTTTACTATTCGTTGTGTTTTGCTTTCAGTGTACGGATGTGGAATTCTTTGAGTGTTTCTCTTAATTGGGAATTGACTAGCCATTATTTCTTTAAATATTATTTTCTACCCTGCCTTCTTTCTCTTCCTCCTCTGGATGTCAACGCTGTGAACATTCAACTTCTTGGTATCATTGCATAGGTCCCTGAGACTCTTTTTATTTATTTTTTCCTCTCAAATCATTTTTTTTCCCTGTGGTTTAGATGGATACTTTTTATTATTCTATTTCCAAATTCACTGACTCGTTCTTGTGCCAAATTCATTCTGCAGTTGATTCTGTCCACTGAGATTTTTATTCAGTTATTATATTTTTCTTTTCTGGTACAGGGGATTTCTTTTTTCTTCTGGTGCTGGGGATGGAACCCAGGAGTGCTTTACCACTTGCATCCCCAGTCTTGCCTCCAACTTGTAATCCGTCTGCTTTAACCTCCCGAGTTGCTGGGATTGCAGGAATGTGCCATTGTGCCCAGCTGGTTATTATATTTTTCATTTAAAATTTCCATGTGACTCCTGTGTCTTTGTTGAGACTTTCGATGTGTCCACTGGCTTCAAGAGTATACACCTCTCGTTCATGTAAAGAATTCTTATAATAGTTACTTTTAAGTCTTCATCAAAAACTATCATCATCTGTGTCATGCCTTCATTGACATCTGTGATTGTCTTTGTCTCATACCAGTTGGGATTTTTCCGATTCTTCATATGCTTGGTAGTTTTGGAATGTTTCCTGAATATTTTAAACATTTTATTAGGAGACTCTGATTTTTGTTTGAAGACTAGGGATGATAGTGATACGTTTGTTTTAACTGATAATTGACCTGGTGGGGTTCAGGCATTGAGTTCCTGTGGGTTGTGATTTCTATCAATTCTGTTTCCAAAGCCTTTGCAGTGTGTTTCAGGTCTGTTCCTTTGCCCGTGTCTAGTGGCTAGTCTGAGACCTGGGCAGGGGTCTGTGTTAGCTCAGTTCTTCTTCTTCTTCTTTTTTTTTTTTTAATGGGGTAGATATTTTCATTATTGTTCATTTGTTCTGTTTAGATATACATGACAGTAGAGTGTATACATGAAATATAACTTAGGAGCTCATTCTTGTGGTTGTACATGATGTGGAGTTATACTGCTCATGCATTCATATAGGAACATAGCAAAATTATGTCCAATTCATTCTACAGCCTTTTCTATTCTCATCCTCCCTCCCCTCCCTTCACAATCCCCTTTGTCTAATCCAATGAACTTCTATTCTTTCTTTCCCCTCCCCTTATTGTGTGTTAGCACTATTTACTAGAGAGAACATTCAGCCTTTGGTTTTCTGGGATTGGCTTAATTCACTTAGGATGATCGTCTCCAGTTCCATCCATCTAATGGCTGAGTAATATTCCTATGTGTGTGTGTGTGTGTGTGTGTGTGTGTGTGTGTGTGTGTGTATATCACATTTTCTTTATCCATTCATCTGTTGAAGGGCGCCTATGTTGGTTCCATATTAGCTCAGTTCCTAAAGTCTGAAATACTGGCCAGGGTCAGATCTATGCATGTACAGTTCTAGGGGAAGCACAGCTCTTTCCCTGAGCTCTTCTGCAATTGCCCCAGTATTATCAAGATCCCTGCAATCTCTGAACCTCTGGACAGATTTGGGCTTTTTAGGTGCCACTGCTCTGCCCATGCTTTCCTACACACTTCCTGTACTTGTGGCTGAGCCCAAGGCTAAGCTCTGAGAGGACAGAGAGAAAGCAGGCTTTATGCCATCCTCTGGGGTCACAGCTTCAGATGAGACAGGAAGATGGCTTTTCTTCAGAGCCCAGGGGTTGGGATACAAGAATGGAGAAAAAGGAGGAAATGGAAACATTCCCCAGTTTCTCTGAACACTAGAAGCTGTGTAACCGATGTGATTCTGCAATCTGTATACGGGGTAAAAATGGAAGTTCATAACTCACTTGAATCAAATGTATAAAATATGATATGTCAAGAACTATGTAATGTTTTGAACAACTAATAATAAAAATTTTAAAAAAGAAGCTGCCTCCCACCCCATCTCCCCGATTCTGAACTAAAGGGCTGCTCTGGGACTTTCGGTATGGGCCTGTGCCTCTGCCCCTGCAGGGCCACCTTGAGTCGGGGTGGGAGGTGTACCAGAGGGAAAAATAATGGTGAACTGACTGCTGGCTCCAGGGTACTCAGAATTCTGGTCTTCTTCTCCAATCTGTCTCCTTATGTTTACTTTTCAGATTCCTCAAATAAGTGTTCCTTGCATTCCATCCAGGTTTTATTGCTGCATTCAGCAGGAGACGTGGGGTAGAAGGGAGCTTGCACCTCTGACCCAGAACTGAAACTAAGGTTCTTTTTATTTTTATGAGATTTTTGACAAAGTTCCTGAATTTTAAGTAACAACACAAAACTGACCCCTGCTCTTTTTGAAGCAGGGCTGTCTGAGGAAGCGGAGGGGGAAGGCGTGAGCTGTACTCACTCCATCTTGGGCCTCCCCCTCTCCCAACAACTCCTGTGAGCACCCCCTTCTCTTTCTAAAGAGGAATAAACAATTTCCTGCAGCCATTGTTCCCTGCCCACTAACAGATGCTCTTAATTAGGACCAAATTGCAGCAAAATTACCAAGTAAATCTATTTTGCTGTTTTGGTTTGTTTCTTCCAGAAATCCCTGGCTTCCCCAACATCCACCCAACCCACACTCAGCATCTTGTTTAATTCGAATCAAGAACTTACCACCTCATTCTTCTCCATGGGCACAACCATAACACAGAGAATCCGTTGCTAGATATTTCTCCCACAGGAAAACTGCTGATCCTGAAAACTTTCAGAGCTTGATAACAGTGGCAATATCTATTTGGGACTATTGACATTTTATCCCAAACACTCTATCAATTCTCTTCCACAATAAAGAAACTGGTCATTTAAATCACTTACACAATTTCATCTCCCCAAAGAACTATAGCATTTAAACACAAAGGAATGAACCATTGGAAGCTTTCTTTCGGTTTATTCTATCGTTAATTTTTATATGTCCTCCCCCTAAAAGTATAAAAAAAAACTTTCATAAAAATTGCTTGTAAAGCTGGTGATGGCAGTATTCTTAGTTTGACAATTTCTTCACGGGCTGCATGAGATCATTCATGGGTGTAAGGGAACTGACTGTGAAGAAGAATGCTGTTCTTCCAAATTTTGAGACAAAGAAAGCTTTTACACAAGGCAGAGATGGCTCTCTTTTCTAGGTCATGATTAGGCCTGCTTTTTTCCTTTAACATTTTTTTTTAATGCAACAAGTTTTGCTTGGGGCTATGGTTTTGAATTAATATGTGTAGGCTGGTAGGCAAAGAAGTATTTTTTTTTAAATTGCTTTCTTTTTTGTATGATCTATTAAGAGCAAAATCTTGGAATTCAGCTTCATGACTTGAGAGACGCAGTTTTTTTTTGTTGTTGTTGTTGTTGTTGTTTTTGGGTTTTTTTTTTTTTGAGAATCAATTTAATGCTGAGATCACAAATGATAAAAATACACAGAAATCTCCTGGCTGTGCTCATTGCAGTCTCTTTGAGTCAGATCCATTATCTCTATTCACTGAATGACTCAGTGGTCACCTTTTTATCCTTTGGGAAGTAGAATCTCAGATATCTGCAAGATAGCCACCATGACATGAGTTGGTTGGATATAGAAACTTCTACTTCCTTAATCTCAATTTTTATTTTATAATTTTTTCCCTATGTTACAAAGACTTTTACCTTGCTAGAAAAAGTCAGCTAGCTTTGCAGTGCACAATCCCTAGAGAAAGTGCCAGATAAGATCTTGCAAAGCAAAAAGGGGGCTGCTTCCTTTCCTTGGAAATCCAGGACTCTGCCTTCTCTGAGGAATTTGTCTGTGATAAGGGAGGGCTTTTTGTGTCAATGTCTGCTGTTTTGGGAGCAGGACTAGATTGAAAAAGAGTAGAGGAGCTCTGTCTCTGCAAGGGCTCAGGAGCAAGCAGGTCCCTTCTCTATGGCAACTCACTTTAATACTCCATTTGACGTTTCAGTGCAGGCCTTCTGGGGACAGAAAGACAGATAAATCCAAAATAATGGTACCTCCAGCCACCTTCTGCTAAGATGCTGTTGTACTTGGGTAAACAGGAAGTTTTATGGACATTCAGGACTGAGAATCCATATTTCTACCTCCTGGGAGAGATGGCATAGCATTGTTATGGCCACCTGATACTTGAAACACATGGATGATAGACATTTAGTAGACCCTGTATTTAGAAACTGTTTGAGTTAAAATCATCATAATAAAAAATTTTTAAAGAAAAAGATGGGTTTTTGCCCTTTTGTGTTAAATCTGCCATTGGTGTTTGAAGATGCACAAAGAATTCTGTTTGTGGGAATTTGGAAAGGGCAAATGTTGATGTATACACTAAAAAATTAAGACAAATGATAATTGAAAGAGATGGTAAAAGCTAGTGGTTTCCATGGGGAAATAATCATGAATTGCTGTCAGGCAGATTCCAATAAGAAGAGTGCTTTATGTGAAATGTTTTTTAAACAGCTCAACCAAAGCATCAAGCGAGAGCATCCGTTTGTTGTATGTTTCTATTAGATCCCCATCTGAGACTCCTCAACTTATAGTATTCACTGGTCCAGCTGCTGTGTTTGGCTTCTTTGTGGTCAACACTCAGCTGGAGCCAAGAAATATCAGATAGCAAAAAAGATAGTATTTGTGGATCCTTAAGGTAATTCTATTGTTTCACCATATTGATTCGTCAGATGGATTCAGAGTTATTGATCTGTGAATTTACTTTTGTGTGTTAGCCTTGTTAAATGCTGCTATTGTACTTAAGGCATCCCTTTAATTCTGCTAGAAAGAACTTTGACGTACATTTGAGCTTCGAAGGAGTGAAGACTACTATATTTGTAAATTTTTTTGGCATTTATTATGGAGTGATGCTCAATCTCTTTGTGCCCCCTATTGTACCTTATAGAGATTTCTGTCAGAGCCCCTGATCACTTCATTGCGTTTATTGGCTGACACAGCCATGTTCTCTATTAAATCATAACACAGAGCCTGGCCTAAGGCACAAATTCCTGCTGAATGAATGAATGACTCCTTGGTCAAATTTACCTCCTCTTTCCAAGGAAAGCTGCCCAGGAGATCTCCTATTTGCCCAACCAGGTCCAATCTCCACCCTGCTCCTCCTTCTCTGACCTTGGGAGGATGACTGCATGAGCCAACCGCAGCCTCCCTCTGGTCTGTGTTCCTTGGTGAAAGGCTCTTTCCGTATTGTTCTCGCTAGGGCAGGTAAAGGCTCTCTGGGTTACCAGCCACAGTTTAGCATTATTCTTTCTTGGTTTCCTTAACCCTGCCCACCCCTTTGTAAGTAGTCTCTTTGTGAAACTCTCCCCAATTAGCCAGTTCACAGGTCTCTAGGACCCTGCTGGGACTCGGATATTTGCCCAACTCACCCAGATGAAAAAGTTGGTTTCATCTAAGTATCACAGTCCATCTCCCTTGCATTATTTCAAATAAATGCTCTTTCCTAGGCCAGCCAACCTCCAAATTAGAATCAACTGGAGCAGGGGTCAGCAAACTACAGCTCGCAGGCCAAATCCAGTCTGCGGCCTGTTTTTATAAATGGAGCTTTATTGGAACACAGCCACGACCATTTGTTGACTTACTGTCTGTGGCTGCGTTTGAGCCATGACAGGGGATGAGGGGTTGCAACAGAATCCATCTGGCCTGCAAAGTTTAAAATATTTGCTATTTGACCCATGGTAGAAAAAAAAGTTTGTTGACCCCTGATTTAGAGAAAAACCAGACATGTGAACTCCATCATTTCCATCAAGAGGCTCCTGGGCCAGATGCTAGGGGCATTTGTGAGTGGCCCCATGACAGCGCGCGGGAGGCTCTTAGACCCCACTCTGACAGGTCTGTGGAACATTGTGTTGCTGTGACAACTGCTGTGGCCCGCTGGGTAGAATGTGACCAAGAAAAAATGAGGAGGCATTTGTGTTTAAATGTCTTTATAATTTGTGATTTTCAGAAGTCTAGAGTTTCCTGAATAGAATGACTCTCCTGAATGTTTTCATATTTCGTTATTGAAATTCTTTTGTACATATCTGACTCCCCCTCCTGACTGGGTGCCTTTTTTAAGGGTCCAGGTTTTATTCAGACCTGTATTTACCAGTGCCTGGCACGAAATGGCTGATGCTCAGTAAGTATTGTTTGAGATTGGTCATCAACACCTAATTCAGAGAAGGAAAGAAGAACGAAGGGGCTGGGACACAAGATACCCTGCCAAGACATCAGCTCTTGCTCTCTCTGACCCCAGTCTCTGCCTCTTCCACCTTCAGAGGGCCAGAAAAGATAAAAGACAAGGCTCTCCTCCCAGTAAAGCTACCCCTTGGAGCAGAGTGGCTACATAATTTGTGGAGCCCAATGTATAAGGAGAAAGCGGGGCCTCTTGTTCAAAAATTATGAAGAATTTTAGGGCAGCATCAGCAGAGAGATAAACCAAGCACGGCGCTCCTGTGCCTGCACAGGGACCCGCCTGTGAGGTCGGTCCTGCCTGTGGATCCCTGAGAAAAGGGCAGCCTGCGGGAGGCCAGGGAGCCTCTTTGGCTCTAGAGCATGGTGCTCAGCCATGACAAAGGGCGCATAGGCCGAGAGGTCACAGGTTGTGGGCTCTGGGACTCTGTGATGACATGTGTCTAATGCTGCCTAACCCGGGCAACACTTTATCATTTCCAGAATGTTTACAAGTATCTTGGACCCTCACATGGAAGAGGATTTCTCTTCCCTGAGCCCAGACACCTGGCTTCACACTGATGAACCTGCTCGCTCCTCCCTGACTTCTTGTTTTCAATTTAACCTCAAGTCACCTAGGCTACCCCCTTCATGGGCCACCAACCACATTTGTACTGAGAGGCTGTGCAGATGTTTTTTTTTGGGGGTACAGACAGTTCCTGTCACAACACCCACCCAGAGGACAATGTGTCTATGTGAGTGTTCCCCTTATCTTGTCCCCAGAACCCTCCCGTGCCCCTCCTCATCATAAAGGGGGTTAAGTGGCCACTCTGCAGGAACCCCAGTGCCATGACCCCTGAAGATGTCCCTGATGCTGGACATCCATCCTGCCAGCTGCTGGAGCATCTCCTGACCCCACAACCCTGTCCTGCCTGCAGGTTGAACCCTCCCTTCCCTTGGAATCACAGTGAGCCTCCTGGAGGTCTCCAGGTGGTGACAACTACAGGTGAGGAGCTTCAGGCTCTGTCTAGCAAGACATCATCACCTGTGTGTCCTATCGACTGGAGGAGTTCCCACTTTTGTGGGAACTAAACCACTGCCACCCACCCCTGTCCTTCATCTACCTATCCTTGGTACAAAAGGGGGCCCTAGAGCTCATCCCAAACTACCAATTGTGGGAGAGCACCTTGTATTCTTTGCTGAAAAGTGAGGGCCACGTCATAGTACTAGAAAGCCAAAATTCTGGTCCCCGTGGGGACAGCTCCTGGCTTCTCACCCCCATGTGCATGAGCTCAGCCACTAGGTGGCGTCACCCCATCTCCCTGGGCTGAGGAAAATGACCAAGTGCCTGAGTGTTGGTTCCCCACCAAGATGAGATTTCAGCCTTAGGGTACCGCCAACACAAAAAGCTAGCCCTTAGGGAGCTCTAAGCTTAGGTAACCATCGCAGATTGGGGATATTTTCTTCCAAATGGGGATTGGCATCAGGTAACATAGAGTCGTAGTTAAGGGACAAGTGGAATCTGCTTTTTAATCAGAAGCTCAGACAGTCCCCAGAGCTCTTGCAGTCTTCTGCTTACCTTTGGTCCTGGGCTTTCTCAGGCTTCATTTATCTCCTTGTGACTGATGTGGCCTTAATGGCAGCAGCTACAGATGACCCCCCTGCTGCCTCCGTGCACACGTGCTTGTTATGACAGCCTGATCCTATCTGGTACTCTTCCCCACCCCACCAGGCTCCTCATTCCTTACCCACTATGTTCTCTGTCTCTCACAGGGTCCCCGGTGGCATATAGAGCTCCAGCCTTGGGCGGGCCCTGCTCAGTCCCTGGATGAAGAAGCCTCGAGGTTCCTGCAATACATCAGCACCACGCAGGTTGGGTTTGAGGCTCAATTATTGATTGCCCCTTTGAAACCTAAGTTCCTGATGGGTAGGGAGGTTCTGAGCGACTTGACAGGGACCTGATTTCTGTGGTGTTGCTGCTTAAATTTATCCCCTCTCTCGGAGGAAGATGAGGTGCCTTCCATTTGCTCGGGCATCTTCTTTCCTCCAGGAGTCTCATCAACCTGAAATGTTCTAATGATTCATCCCAAAGTGGTTTAAAGATCCACTTTAGAAAATTGCTTTGGAAAACCATTTGAAGTGACAGATTCGTCCCTGTGAGTAGGCAGTCATGTGTGTCACAAAACAACACCATCATCTGGAGGCTGGAGCTCCGGTTTGCCTTTGGAAGCATTTGCCTTTTCACTTCTCTGGCACAGATGCCTGGCAGCCAGGGATGCAGTAGGCAAGACAGCAGAGGAGTCTTTGAGGCAGAAGGATGAGAAGTTAATGAATCCAAAGTCTCCCTCTCCTCGGAGCACTTTAAATCATTACTGAGCAACAGCCTTTATTAGTGACTTAACACACAGTGGCAGCTCCGGCCTAGCTCCAGGCTGAGTCTGTGCCCCGAGCAGGCGAAAAGACTGTCCATTAAGGAGAGTCTATGGCTCTTGACACGTTAATCAGGAGGTTTCCGTTCTCAAGTTGCCTGATCCTGGGAAAAAAGGCAGATATAAGAGGAGATCTAGGCCCAAGAGACACTTAGCCCTGAACTATGAAGTGCTAGTAATTTAAGAACCCTGACAGCCAGGGAGCTAGCATAGGCCCACTCGGGGGACTTCCTGGGGGTCTGGAGGTGGCTGGGTCTGGGGATCCTGGATTCTTTTTCTTTCCTTCATCCCACTGGCTCTTGGCACATTTCTCCTCCTCCTGAACCTCATTGTCAGTAAAGCCTTTTTTTTTCATCCGTGGGAAGCAATATATTTCTTGGTCTTTGAGATGCTGGTTTAGGGATAAAAGAAAGTCCTGTTTCTCCTATGATGCAGTTAGACAATCATGGAGATTTTAATACCTGTCACCCAAACATGGAATTAGAAGCTTGTGGAATTAATTGTGGGTGATGGAATGATGAATTAGTCCCCGTGCTTTACATAATTTCACCTTATTTTGCTGCTGCAAGTTAATTGGGTGGACTTATGCAGACTTAATTAAAATACTGAAATTTTAATTTTACACTTTGGCTTTACATGAAAGATAGGAAGCTAGACTTCTTAATGATGACTTTAAAAGGCTCTTAAAGGCCTCAGAGAAAAAGGAGAGGTGTTAAGTTTATAAATTGAATTTGAGAATGATGGGATTCACCCTCCAAAATTAATTTACTGAGTGTAAGACTCCAAATTCCCTTTTTAAGGCATTTGAACTAACTTACACAAGGTATATTTACTCAGAAGTATGATCTTGAGGCATGCCATGGTCATTTCAGATTTCTCTCATGAGCCATGGTCTGAAAGAAGAAAAATTCTGGGGGAGAAAAAAAAAAGACAAGGGAAAAAAAAAAGCAGCAATGTCCTCTGATGTGATGTAGTCTGATGCTGGAACCCTGGGCAATTTCCTTTTCCTTTGATTTTTGGGCTTGAAAAAAATAGAGACTGGATTAAGTTGGTTCTAATGTCTCTCTCAGTTCTGTGATCTTGTGCAGAGATTTTGTGTCTTGTGCAGAGAAAATAGGATTGTTATGAAAAGCAAGGGTCTCCGAATACTTGCAACATGTTAGGAACTGCATTAGGCCCTGGGAATATAATCTCTGCCCTCAAGGAGCTAACAAATGAATTGTGAAGGCAGATAAATGAGTGCATACTTATTATTCAGTTCGATGAGTGCAATAAGAGAGACTTGTCTGCTGACGCTGTAAGGAAGAGCTAGATCTCTTCCACCCACATGCATTCTGGTTCCCACAAATTCCCTCAAATCTGTGTTCTAGCTGGTTCTAGGATCCCGATTAATATAGGAGCTGATGAATAAGAGAAAAGCATAAAAGTTTTATTAAATTTACATATACACGGGAATCTTCATAAGAGAAGATCCCCTAAAATGACCAAAGCATGATGCTTTTTTCTTTAAGATAAAGAACAATAAACTTGTGAAGGAATGACAGGATAAATGGATATCTGGACTAGCGCAGTAGATTCTCAGGATGCTTCCAAAAGAGGTAGTGATAGTAGATGAAAAAGCTGGTGGAAGATAGGGATTACCTTAAATAGTTTGTTTATTCTGTTTCATTGCAGTCCCAATTACCAGCCTCTGGTGATCGAAACTCTTTTCTGGCCGTGGTATGGAAAAGACATCTTTCCCCAAAGAATCTTTATGTCTTGCTGCATGTAGGAAAAGCAGTCCAAATGCTCCTTGCTGAAGTTACAGTTACTCAAATGATTTCAGCTTGGAGTAATCAATATACCAGCTGGGCATATTTTGAAATAGCATGTCCTGAACTTATTCAAAGTTCACTAGAAGGATTTTTATCCTCTAGAAAGAATGAGATAAGATTCTAGACCACCCACTGGTTTTTGTAATCAAGAGCCATTTTATCCAGGCAAAGTACTGTGCTCTGATGCACTTCTGGGTTACTAAGAGGCCAGGAGGTGGGAGCCATCAGAAATAACAGTAAGTGGTTCTTTACCTGAATCTTTTGCTAACCATTGCTCCCTCCACTTCCCTATGTAATGCAGAGCTTTGTGACTGGTTTTGTGGCTTATGCCTCATTTAGAGCTCATCTTGACAAAGAAATTCTGTAAAACTGGCAGAATATTAGAGTCACTGTTACTGAAAAAAATTCAGTTAGCAGTAGTGAGTCATAATGGGCTAGGGAAAAAAAGTCTCTGAAAGTACTTAAAGTGAATTCCACCCCCATTCTCTTATGCTGCTTTTCAAAATTAAGAAAGAAAATTAATTCCCTCAAATCCATGTTCAAACTTCTAGAGTGAGGACTGGCATTTGATGTGTTCATTGTTGATTTGATTTATCCATGCATCAATGCAGCAGGTTATTTGAGCACCTGCTCCTGGCCAGCAGTGTGCTAGGCTCTGGAATATTAAATACCACCCTCCGACACACACATACTGGTAAACAGCTAGCATGCAAGAGAGGTATGACAACAGGAGGGTGGATAGATGAATGAAGAAGGCTTCCTAGGCCAAGGGAACTTGGGAATAGAGACACAGGGCACACAGGACAGCATAGCATTAGATAGCCATAGACATGATCCTGGGCCTGTACTGTGTACTGTAGTGATCTTGGTTCCTTTCTTCCTTCCTTCCTTGGTACCAGTGATTGAACCCAGGGGTACTTAACCACCGAGCCACATCTCCAGCCCTTTTTTATTTTTAATTTGAGACAGGGTCTTGCTAAGTTGCATAGGGTCTTGCGAAGTTGCTGAGGCTAGCTTTGAACTTGCAATCCTCCTGTCTTAGCCTCCAGAGCCTCAATATTTCATTTTTTTAATGAAACACCAAAGGATGTGGTATTTGTGTAAGGTGTAAAACATCGAGTTCAGTTAGGCATATATATAATATGTATATATATATACATATATATATAATAAATAAAAGATAATGATTTATATGTGGGGTTCTGCAGTCAATGATGATACTGTCTGCTGCTAACAAGAAATGGTTAAATCATAAATACAGTGCTCTGTTCTGAGGGAAGGCTCCAGATATAGCTTTTTATGGCAACCCCCAAACCATATGCCTCCAGGAAGCAAGCCTTGCTGTGCAAAATGAATCTAAGCATAGTGGCTTAGAAAAAGAAAAAAAATATGTGTTTTAAAGTTGACCTGTTTTTCTTTCTATTATTTATCTATTTGTGTAATTATCTACACATATACTTATAAAGACAACCTGAGTTCAGTTCAGGCTCTGAATATTCAGACCATAACTTTACAACATCATAGCAATGGCATCTATTATATTTACTGCTTCGTGTGCATACACACACATACACATACACCAGGATAAAAACAACAGATATACAATACCCTTGAGCCTTTTAAATAATGGGACTGTATATAAACATACAGTTGATTGTTGAAGTGATTCTTGCTAAAAGTCCCCAGATTTAAGGGTTCTACATTCTACTTATAAGTTGGCAAAAATACTATTCAAGCTTTTGGGATACAAAATGAAATGAAAATAAATTAGCCCTTTCAGTTAAATAACTAAAAAAAATCAAGAAATTTCTTTTCTGGAGTTTGTTTTCCCTTGTCCATGCCTAATTCTCTTTATATAGCTAAAATTACAAGGGGTATTAGGCAGACAGAGGATGTAATTACTTGAGTTAAAGCTTAGCTTGAAGTTGCTGCCCTTACTTATTTTGCTTGCAAGAGAGTTTATTGAAGCCCTGGCCATAAATCTTAACTAGAAAGTTTGAGAAATCAATATTTAATTAATTTTTAGGAGCAGAATTTATGGAGGACTCCTAGTTGTTTTCAAAAGCTCAGGTCTGTCAATGAGATGGTTACTAAATGGTTAAAACTAGATAATCCCTGTGTTTTATTTTAAAGCTAAGAAAAAGAAGGGGGCACATTATCATAGTGATTGAATGGAAAAGAATCTCTCTCTTTTACAGGGATATGTCTGTGCAAGATGAAATCTTAGAATAAGAAGCAATGCTTAATTAGAAAAAGTATTATCTTCAATAAGATAAAATCCAGTTGCCTGGCATGGACAAAAGGAGGAGCAGGGCCATCTCGAAGCCTTCTTGACCCTTCATACCTGACAGTTGGAGGCCTTTGACTAATTGTTGGTACCTACCCTGTTGGCCCTTTGTTAGGGGCGAGGTCAGAAAGGTGTTGTTTGCAGATGAAAGCCTTGGCCCACTATAGCTTCTTGCCTTAATTCACTAAGGCCAAGGTAAGACCAGTTTGGATCATTTCCCTGGATTTTACAAAAGGCCAAACCTTCCAGTAACCTTGCAGGACTGTCTGCATAAGAATCAACCCAGGGAGCCTATTAGAATGCACGTTCCCAGGTGTCAGTCTCAAAGGTTCTTTTTGGCAGTTGTGGAGTGGGACCCAGGAAACTGCATTTTAAAGTACCTCACAGGTGGTTCTGATGCAGGTGGACCACACCTTAGGAAACTCTGTGGAAGAGGCTAGGGTTAGATTTTGATGGTGCGGAGAAGGGAACTATATATAAAGGCCTGTGAACATCCATATCCTATCTGTCATTATGGAGGTTCTTAGGGAGAAGCACCCACAAAGGACAATCGCTTCGGGAATCAATCCTACCACTTTAGGAAAAAAAAAACAACAACACTCCAAGAAGCTGCCCTGGAGCAATGGCTCAGTCTCCTGTGGTAAAGGCATGGCCTGGGGTCACACAGAACTGCCCTGATGAGCTAATTAGCTTCCTGCTAGAGGCAGGGCAGGGGGCAGAGCAGTAATGAAGATGCCCGTGTTTCAGGCCTGGTAATGTGCCCACTAGAAGATCAGGGCTCGGTGAGCACATTGAGCTCTGATTAATTAGATTAGCAAACTTCCCTGCCTTTGGGTGGGTGAGTGGGGAAGAAGAGGGGGGGGCAAGCAGAAGCATAATTTCCATTTCTCTATGGGAAACTAGTAAAGATGAATTACACAAATTAAGATGCTAATGCACTCAGTTAATAAATGTATTCTGTAGTAGTTGCTTGAGAGAAAATTAAATTCCATTTTTGTATTGGTATTTTCCCCTTTAAACAGTTGTCGGAGAGAGAGAGAAGTGGAAAGGGAAAAAGAACACCTCCCGTTTTGCTTTTTCAGCTTTCCTCTGAGATCCCTAAATCCTCGTTGAAGATTCTGTCACAATGGCTGATAAATATCTCCAGGATGATTTTGGTAGAGCCCTCATAGAGCAAAAGCAGAGCAGCTGCTGCACTAGTTGAATAGGCTTCCCATGATATGCTTTTCTTAGATTAGAACTTTGGAAAATCAGTCAAATAAAAAAGATTAGGCAAGCTTAGAATATCATCTAAAGAAAATCACTTGCTGTTATATTTTCCAATGAATTAAACCTGAAAGTATCCTTTGTGTCTGGAGTGGTCTGATTGTCTCTGGTGTGACAGCAGGAGCTGCTGTGTCATGGAGCATCTTGACAACTATGCGAGCTTTGAGGAATGGGAAGGGGGACACTGCTGCTCAGCAAGGTGCATCTCTTGGTCATTCTAACAGCTTCAGCCATGCAAACTGTACTGGCCTCAACACAAGTCAGCATCCCTCATGATGTACATTTGCTTAATGTGCACTTGGAATTTGAGACTAACTTCTGCTTGACTTACACCCACATTGCCTTTGGTTTTCTTATCTAATTTTGATGGATGAGTTCAAAGAAATGCTTTGGTTAGCTGGGGGAAGGGCCTTCTGCCTGGAACTCTTGCCCTTCTCTCCCAGGAGGAAGCTCATTAGGGCACCTTATCACACAGAATGCCATCTTATCAGCAGGGACTGCCTATTAATTTCACTTGACCTGTGATCAACTGTCTACCTTGGATAACACAGGCCGCCTTTCTGACCTTAGTGGCCGCACCTTATCTGCCTGAAATAAGGACTAGATAACCTTGCCAGTGTCCCTCTGAGGTCTGTGTCTGTAGTTGGATTGCATGTCTCACAGTAGGGACATTGTCTGCACCGTCCTCTGTGTCTGGAATCCTTCTTGGTCTGAGCTTCTCTGTCAATTTCTGTCCATCCTCCAAGACTAATGCACCTCTGCAAAGCCTCTGGACACCACTCCCAACTCTGCTTCTGATTTGCTCTCAAGACAAATGGCGACAGCAGTTCTTAACTTCCCTTCAAACCTGCTCTGAGTTTCCTTGAGGTTACTTATTATCTGGTATGTAATTGAAATTCCTCTGAACATTTTATAGCAGCCATGTAGTTCCCTGGGGAGGGGAATAGTGAGAAGTGGAGGACATAACTCTCCTATTAAGAATTTCAGGGACGAGGGAAGCAATAAGTCTCTATCTAACATTTATCATCTAACATTTAAAAATTATTCATATTGATTTCCAATCCTTGCAGATTGCATGTGATCACATGAGTACAGACGGCTTGGCTACCGACTCCAGCTCTGCAAAGAAGCCCTGGTTGGTGTGTCTTGATGACAGGTTTGGCTTAGCTCATCAAATCCGCAACAGGCAGTGCCGCCTCTATTCTTTAGGGTAAGTACTTTTTTTTTTTTAATAGCAGAAGGAAATTTTCCTGCAGACATTCATGACTTTTTCAGCAACACAAAATTCTGACTCTGCAGTGTATACAGGTGCTATGCTTTGCCATATGCCATTGTCTCAGACTGATCTGTTGTAAAACTGTGGGCCTAGGCAAATCACCAGGGCCACTTTCTCTCCCATTTTGCTGGTAGTAAGCTGGCAGCACAAGATGATCCTCTTAATAAAACCAATATTTTCCAGTGAGAATTAGACTATCTTTAGAGAGAATATTAATGAATATAGCTAGAAAAAGAGAGTTAGAAATTTTATACACAGTTATGAGAGACCTGAGATGAATAATGGGTACTGTTGGATTTTTATGTTTGGTTCCAAACTTTTCATTGCTGTGACCAAAATACCTGACATAAACAACTTAAAGGAGGAAAAGTTCACCTTGGCTCATGGTTTCAGTCAGCTGGCTCCATTACTTGGCGCCTGAGTTGAGGCAGAACATCATGATGGAAGGGCATGACAGAGGAAAGCCGCATGCATGGGTTATGGCGGCCAGGAAGTAGACAGTGGGTGGGAAAAGGGGCCAGGAACAAGAAGTATCCTTGCGGGGCACGCCCCCAGTGACCTTCCTCCAACCATGCCTTGTGGCCTCTAGTTTCCATGGTTTCCTAATAGTTCATTCAAATGACTAATCAATCACAGGAGTTAATCCAATAATGAGGTTAGGGCACTCATGATCCAGTCATGTCCTAAAAGCCCTATCTCCGAACATTACTTCACTGGGAACAGCAACACATGAGTCTTTGAGGGATCCGAACTATAACAACCAATGATAAATCTAAGTATAGTTTTATGCATTTTAAAAAATAAAGGAGATTCTTATGAAAACTATGTGATTTTGTCAAAATAAAAATATGGATGTTCAGTTATTCAGGTGGAAAGTGACCTATATGTATAAATGAATTTAGAGAGTTTTTTTTTTTTTTACGTGTGTGTGTTGTTGTTGTTGTTTGTTTGTTACCAGAAATTGAACCCAAGGGTGCTTAACCACTGAGCCACACCTCCAAGTCCTTTTTATTTCTGATTTTGAGACAGGGTCTTGCTAAGTTGTTTAGGACCTCCGATACATTGCTGAGGCTGGCTTTGAATTAATGATCTTCCTGCCTCAGCCTCCCAATGAGTATGGTGAATGAAAAATGAATGAAAAGGAATGAATATGGTGTAGCACACCTGTAATCCCCAAGCTGCTGGGATTACAGGTATGCGCCAACATACCTGGCTAGAGAGCTTTTTGTAAATGCATGAACATAAAGAAATGAGGCTATTTCATCAAATATATTGGTATGTTTATAAATGGTTCTGAACTTACAAATAATGTGTCTCAAAAGAAAAGGCAGGAAGAAATTATTTCTGCTAAAACACCTTTTCCAAAAGACTCTTTGGTAGGAAATATGTAGGTTCTCAGGCTAGACTATTGAAGTCCTTTTCAAAAAGTACTTGGGACACTAATATCACATGTCTGTTCCTCACTTCTGATTTTTATTACCTACCTCTATGGTGTACATTCAGATCACCAGAATCAGAGGTGGGGGTCAGGGTTAGGAACAGACAAAGGTAATGAGGAGGCCTCTCCAAAGGTGCTGATGCAGAAAAGATCCCAACTGCTATCAAATACAACAAACAAGAAGTACTAGTCATGGTGGATTAAAAGAAGAAAAGATCCAGAAAGAATTTAGAGATATTGGATCCATATGGGGTTAAATGAAGATATACTGATGGTGTCTATTGGTAGAGCTTGGCACACAGTAGGCACTCAATACATGTTTACCATGTAAATGATGGCCTGAGGGGAGGAGGCTGGGGAGGGAAACTCTTCATTGAATTTGAAGGCTTGGTTTAGATGATGAGCTGTTGAGACAGATGGTTAGAATTGAGCTCTTTTCCTGAGAGTCCACAGGCTCAGCTTTAAGACTGTAGGAAGAACGGGAAGTTGTGACAGCAGAGTTTATTTTATGTCATATTAAAGATGTATGAAAGTAGGTCAAAAAATAATTGCATAGTACCGCATGCAAATTGGAAATCTCAGCTTGGTCCTGTTTTCTGCTCTGAAATGCCTTTATGTTTTACTTAGTATTTTACACTCTAGAATAATTTCATTTAAAGCATATCACTGAGTAAAATAAAACTTGAAAAGTTGTTTTTAGGGGAAAACGTTAAATTTCTTTCTTCTTATATTTCAAAACTGTGGGATTAAGATGGTTCTATAGTCAGGTTTCAGATTAGTACAGATAAAAAGGTAGTTTCTTACTTTTCTTTCAATTTTTTACCATTCAAAGTCAACTTTGTTAAGAGCAGATGAGGGCATTTGAACTCCACGGAGGAAAGGAATGAATAGACTAGAAGGGTCTATATTTGATGGAAACCAAAGAAAATATTTTTGATGGCTGAAAAAGGATGCTGGGATCGTGAGTGATAATGTTGATTGGCTTATGACTTAGGATCAGGATCCAGAAAAGCACCTCCTGTTGAGGTGAATCACATGCTGGCGGCACAAGCAGTTAGCTGGCTGAGGTCATCTCAACTGATGCTGAGAAGACCTGGACCCAAAGTGGTGGTCCCAAAATCAAGGGTGGTGGCAGGAAATGTGGGCTCCATCCCAGCATCGGGGAGTGTTGGGACAGTTGCATGATAGGTGAGGAGGGCAGGTGGTGAGTCATGTGGCCCCTGCCTATGGGGTATGTGCTGCAAACCCAAGAACACGCCATTGCTGGGCCCAGTAATTCCCTGACAAACTGAAGATGCAGGGGTGACCTTCCTGGAAGGAGGACATAGCAGTCAGAAAACAAAGACCAGCAGCCCTACATCTCCCTTTCCTCCACCACAATAGCTAAAGCAGGTGTCCCCACTGCTATCTCTCTGGTGGTGAATTTTCCTCACCAGGAGTCAAAATGTTTTATTCCAGAATAAAATGTGAAAGACATTTTGTCCAGTGAACTCTGATGGTGTTCCATTGAAAGTTAAAATAGGATCCCTTTTTGTCTTTGACCAGTGAAGATAGGGGAAGGGAGCGAGAAGAAATGTAAATATTACAGGAAAGGAAAAGGGAAGAGAAATAAGGAGAGGCCATGGATGTGGAGGATAACGTTGTGCACCTGGAAACCTCAGGTGGCGTCTTCCCTGCAGGTCTTCACATGTCCTTGGTGCAGGAGAGATTTCAGGCACCGGTGGGGAGGGCTGGGGAGGAGGGTAGATTAAAGTGGGAAATATCACCTCTTTTACTTTTCATGTCAAAGATTATATTTTAGGGGTAGAGCTGGATGTGAAAGGGAAAAACTGAGATAGCACGGGGGTAAACATTCTCCTTCTCTTCTCTAGTTCTGTGGTAGGTGGTAGTATTTGTTTGCAAGGCATGAAATTCTTCGCATAAGACAGAAGATTTCATAAGTGACACATGCTTAGGCAATAAGAGCCAATATTTTATATAGAAAATCTGGCTCTTCCAGTTGCTGTAAGCGTTTCAAGAGGGAACAAGCTTCAGAGCCAAACATTTTTGTCTTACGGTAGTTTAATGAAGACAGCAGGAATGGTGTTAGCATAGTAAAGGTGAAGGAGGAATCAGAAAATTGGGCACCCCAAATCTCTTTTTAGATCGTTTTCCCTAATCACCCTCCATGATCTTGCAAATCCATAGATGTACTGAATATCTGCCTAGGCAAAATTATAATAGCTGTGCACTGTATGCAAGGAGAGGAAGATTCCCCCAGAATCCATTTCACCTCCTTAGAAGTAATGATGTCTCTATTGAGAATATGTTTCGGATGAAATCTTAGCACTTGCTGCCATGTTATTTGACAAAAATCAATAATTACAAAATATTTTATACACTATTATGGATCATTTATGCTTTGCAAAACCTATTTCTCCCCCATTAATAGTAGCAGTGTGGAGATTAAGATAATCCTTTGGCCAGATTCTCTGGTTCCTATTGGGTTGGAGAACGAGTACTGAAAGCTCTGGGAAAATGGTAATTGCCTGACCTCTTTTAACCCCTCTTCCTTCAATGATGAGGGTTTAAAATTTTCCCTGTATCGGCTCTGGGTTTCTGTTTTTTAACATTTAAACAGCTTTATGGAAATAGAATTCACATATTTAAAGTGTATAATCCAATGGTATTCTAGCCACTACAGAAAATTTTAGAACATTTCACTATCCCTCAAAAGAAGCCCTATACCTCAGAGCAGTTACTCCCAATCTCCCTGGCAGCCATCATCTCCTGACCCCTCAGCCCTCAGTCTTAAACACTACTGTTTTCTGTCTCTGTAGATTCACCTATTCTAGACATTAATGTAAATAGAATCATAGGATATATGATCTTTAGTGACTGTTCTCTTTCACTTAGCATCATGTTTTCAAAGTTCATCCACATTGTACCATGTGGATGTACTGACCTCCATTTCTTTTCATGTCTGAATGATACTCCATTGTATGGATGTACCACCTTCTATTTATCCACTCATCAGCTGATGAACATTTGGGTTTTTCTGCTTTTTGGTTATTATGAATATTGAGATGAACATTCATGTAGAAGTTTTTGAGTGGACATATTTTTATATCTTGGGTGTTTACCATTTTACATTCTCACCAGTGATCTATGAGGGTTCTATTTTCTCCGCATCCTTGCCAACACTTATTATTTTATCTTATTGAACACAAAGGGGTATCTCACTGTGGTTTTGATTTGTATTTCCCTACTGGCTAATGGTCTTGAGCACCTATTTGTTCAAGCTCTGAATTTTTAATTCCTAGGGAATATAAAAGTCACTCACTTTAATAGTCTGAAGAATATTTTTAAAAGAGTGACCAAGGACCTGACACAGTGCCACATCCATCCCTTTTACCCTTCAGTGGTATAAAGTGGTAGGTGGTTGCCAGCACCAACCAAAGCTAATTCAAAGAACACCTTGGTGCAGCTTGTGAAAATGTACCCCTCTTCCAAGAACCTTACTGCCATCTGCCAGGAAATTATCACTGGGTCATTCTGAAGTGAATGGCACCTCCTAGCATTGTTTAGTACACAACCCACACAACCGAGTCTAGGAATCCTTTTTTGTTTGTTTGTTTGTTTCTGTGATATCAGAGAAGGATGGCCAAGGTGATTACTCTGATATTATTCTACATTACCATTGAAAATCAAGTTGCCTCCTTCCTATTTCTTCAATAGTTCTTAGGGGTTTTTTTTCCTCTTTAAAATATGTAGTATTAGTTTTTTAAACTTATTTTTTTTTTTTTTTGAGAGAGAGAGAGAGAGAGAGGGGACTTTTTAATATTTATTTATTTATTTATTTATTTTAGTTTTTAGTTTTTGGCGGATAAACATCTTTATGTGGTGTTTAAAGATAAACATCTTTATGTGGTGCTGAGGATTGAACCCAGCACCCTGCGCTTGCCAGGCAAGTGCGCTACTGCTTGAGCCACATCCCCAGGCCAAACTTATTTTTTACATACATGACAGTAGTGGAATGTATTACAAGCTCTTAGGTTTAATGGTCCTTCTTTGCTGAAAAGTTTGTTGTGACCTGCAACTCCACCAGTAATGTATGCAGAATAATATTTATTATCATGAGTTATATAATTTTATCACCCCAATGGAAAGGAAAAGCTGCAGTCTTAATTCAAAGTACATAGGAAATGCTAATTATCCCCCAGTATCTATTCTCTTGTTGTTCCTTTGGAAGCAGAACTCCCAAGGTCAGCAGGGCATGTGGCCACCCTGCAGATGGCTGCATTTCCTGCCTTCCTTAAAGCTCTTAAGTGGCCATGTATAGGTGTGAGCAATGAGATGTGAGTAGGAGTGATGATGTGTGCAATTTTTAGGCCGTAGCCTCAAGAGGAAAGATGTGACCGTGGCTTCCCCTTTACCTTTCCTGATGGCTGCAATACAGAAAAGATGGCAGGAAATGAAACAGCTGTCTTAGACTTTGAGATGGAAGGCATATGATCTATACTTCTTGCTTCATGGATTATATGTTAAGTAAAATATTTGTATGAATTAAAAGGAACAGTAAATTATCTTTCTGGTTAAATAATAGCAGAAAATGGTTTTCTTGTAGACTAAGAACACGTCTTTTTAAAAAAATATATTTTTGGTCATAGATGACATACTACCTTTATTTTATTTTATTTTTATGTGATGCTGAAGATTGAACCCAGTGCCTCACGTGCTAGGCATGTGATCTACCACTGAGCTACAATCCCAGCCCCTAAGTACACTCTTTGCTACAAATAATAGTTGTTGCTTTATTATAGTTATTTGTTCAAAAATCTTTCTTCATTACTAATTTATCTGTTTGTCCCTTGTGTCCAATATAGTGCCTTGCACATAAGAAGTATGCTTTAAATATTTTTATTTACATTATTGAGTCAGCAAAATGTAGCTCACCACATATACTATGTTTGGATATTGTGCTGTATATTCTGGCAATTTTAGAACATATCTAAAAGTCTTCTTTCACTCAGGGCAGCATTCTGTAAGTCTGTGTAACATAATTTATCTACATAGCACTGGGGATTCAGAAATGAGCAAGCTTTTTCCTTCATGGATCTTAACTGTCTAGTAACAGACAATTTTCTATACTCCTGAGGTTATAAATATTCCCTCCATGAACCTGTATCCTGTGCTTACCTGCTGTGATATAGAGTATAGAGAGCACATGCCTTAGAACTATCAGATTGGATTTGACTCTCGGTTTTACTACTTTGGACTATATTTTGTGACATCTTTGTATATTCCATTTATTCTTCCTCTTGATTTTATCTCTATCACAAACTTGACTAATTTAAGCCTAAAAAAGTACCATTTCAAACAAATAAAAATAAAAATTATAGATGCCAATTAAGTGTTGAATATTTCTTTCCAATACAAGTACATATTTATATTTTAAGATTAAATGGATTGAGTGAAAGTAACATAAGTTAATAAAAACTACAAATTATAAATAGTTTCATGTTATCTAATGTATCATGCAAGATAATTCCCCCACCATATATGTATGTGTTTTCTTATAATAATTTATAATAGAAGATACTTGTGTATGTGTAGAAAATTTCTGGAAAGATACACAAATAACTACTAATCATGTAAATCTCTGGAAATTAGTGGCTAAAATTTCTCATAGTAGAAAACTTACTTTTCACTTATGTATTTAGTGCCATTTAATTTTTTTCTATGTGTATTTGTTATTTTTTAATTATAGAAATTAGTTTAAATTATAAATGATAATATCAATATATAATTTTTTTCCTTGCCAAAAAAAATTAGTTATAGAAGAGTATGTGACTTGTTTAGTGATTAAGATATTTTTAGGTCTTGATTTAAATCATATATACATATACATATGATTTGGCATATAAATATAAACATATTATATATGTGATTTATACTTATAAATTTTATACTTAAGATTAAATATTTATATATATTTTAAAGTATAAAATGTTTGCTTGAAAAAAAATTCTGAAAATTCAGAGGAAGAAAGTATGCACATTTTTACACTAGAGGGTTTATACGCAAAATGTATTTAACAAGTAAATTTTGGCATAATTGCAGATACAAAACTGTCCTTTTATTAACTTACCTATGATAATACTGCTTTGCTCATCTAAGAGTCAACAAATTTAATGAGATGAAAAATCATTTGGGACAGACAACTTTTACAATATTCTCACCTATATGGAACCAAATCTGCTAAGGAAAAATGCTTTGTAGTTTTAGCTGAAACTCTTGGATTCATACTTAATGCCAGGCATATCAGTTAGCTATTGCTGTGTAACAAACCACTCTAAAACTCAGGGGCTTAAATATCACTGTTATTTATTACTGCTAATATGTCTTCAGGTCATCTGGGCTTCTGCTGACCCAGGTTGGGCTCAATTGGGAGGATTTATTTCATGATGAAATGGGTAAGGGCAGTTCTGTTTTTTATGGAAGGCTGGGACTAGCTGGGGTTGTCTGTGCTCCTCATAACTCATATTTTCTTGAGACCGGCAAGCTATCCAAGGCAAATTTTTTATCACTGTGATGATACATGAGAGTAAACAGAAGCACTCAATTTTTAGGATCACAAATGGTTTACTGTTACTTCCTCCCATAAAGGAAGTCACATGACCAAGTCAAAAAATCAAAGTTCAGAAAGGATAGATGAGCGTGGCCGTAGCATGGATGAGGGAGGGGTAAAGAACTAAGGCCAGCGAGTCAATCTGCCACACCAGACTAGGTCATAGAAAATACGGGAGGAAACTGGGTAAAGTAACAGTGGTCTGAACTATATGGATTCAAAAGGAAATAGAAAATAGGGAGGATTGCACAGTAGAAGAAATGGGAATGTTTGAGAGGACTGTTGAATCTTTTTTTTTTTTTTTAGCCAAAGAGCATTGAAAGAAATGAATCCTCTGATTCTTTGACTGACACATCATGGATCCCAGTGGCAGTAGGGTGAAAGGGGAGGATGAGGTCAATAAGACTATTAAGAATGTCTAGTGGAGGATATCTACATTGAAGGTTTAATTAAGTAAAATCTGGAGAACAATTCTTACCCACTGAACTTCTGTATTTCCAAATTAGGCAATAGTCTGCAATGGAGTCTAGGAGAATAAAGTATTTCTGCACTAGGTCCAGGTTTGGCCATGTATTGTGGATACCCTGTGAATTTTTGCTATCCTAAACCACATGTAATTATAGTATTTTGGGCAGAGAAGCCATAATCACCATTTTTTTTTAAAAATCACCCTTTCTGGCTTAATTTTATGCTTTTCATTCAAATCAGTGCTTTAATCAAAGTGATGATTCTTACGCCATTAAATAAGAAATATTTCTGAGTAAATTCAAATATTTGTAAGTATGTTGTAAGTACCCAATTGGGTACTTCATTATAATTAATTCATAATTTCTTTTCTTTGTGGATGTGAATTGAGGTAAGGAAACCCTTCTGCTTCTTGTGTCCTGGATGTAGTAGAACCACATATATTTGCCTTTTTCTTTAACCATTTTAAAATACACACCATTTCTAAGAAAATTTCTAAGAAAACAGCTGTTGTCTTTAAGCCAAATTGCATACACAGCTCTTGGGTCATTAGAATGGAGACAAATTATCTCGTTAGTAGAATGCAAATCTCCTCAAGGAACTAATATGGGGCTTATATTTTTAATCATATTCTGAGCAAAATCTCAAGACTAGTGAATATTCTTCTTTGTCTCATAGCTACTATGATTTACATCTTTTTTAAAAAAATCACCTTGTTATGCTTCTACATGTTAAAGTACTTGATTTTCTGGTCTGTTTTGAGCAGATAATTTCTCTGTCTTTTATCCAGAGGCTTTGAGCTGTAATACTTTTTTTTCTTTTTGAAAGAAAGTTTATTTCATGTGTACATTAGACACACATTAAAAACAAAAAAAGAGAGAGAGAAAGAAGATTTGATATGACTAAGAAAATTGCCTTGGATCTGTCATTCTGGTAGTCTGACAGTTTGCTTTACTTCATTTTGTTGTTGTTGTTAACTGGTTTCTATCCTCTTCCTCTCCAGGCTGGGAAGCGATGATACTCATTTTGAGGTGAGCATGGCCAACGAGGGATGTGAAGTGCATCGTTTTGATCCTAGTGTCAAATCAGCTCACATTCTGGAAAGTCAGCGCCTTTGGTATCACCGCTTGTCCATCGATTGGCGGGATCCCCATCCAGCTGTTGCTGCCCCCAAATTACATAGCAACACCAGAAAACTGGGAAGCATTTTGAATGAATTTGGACATCACAAGGTGAGGCTTTTCAATTGGTTTCATAGTTCACTAAATTGAACACACCCATAAACTCTTTTCCCTAAAAAATGCAAACCACAGATAACATCGACATTGCCCAGTTGAAGGTCCAGTTTGAATCTTACTGATCGCCCACCATTATTTATAGTCTGCTCCGTAGATAAAAAGTTTTAGCAAGGATAGAGATATTTAAATTGATTTGAAAATTTTAGTTGCTGTTGAGTAATGCTAAGATCTTGGCCAAGACTGGGCAAGAAGACTAAGAGATCTAATGCTCAGGCTGGAGTGTATCTTTTCTGTTTAGGAATGGATTTAAAATTTCCAGAAAGACCAAACTATTTATGTTGCCCTCATATACAAAAATATAATCAGAGCCAGGCTTATGCTTATGTTTGATAAGAGATTACTCATGTATAGTATTTCTCACTATTATAACATGTTTCTTACTATTTTGAGCCTCTAGGCTCTTAGTATTCAGAAATCTGTGTAACTTTGATTAAAATTTGCTTTATGAAATTGAACAGACATTCTGTGTGTGCTATTTATATAATTATGTCAAAGGATGTCAAATTTCTGCAAATACTTATTTGTGAATGGACAGCAAAAGAGAAACTCGATCTTTGAACTGTGTTCCTTGAAAGCAATTTCTAGCATGATATACCAGAGCTAATTGTAGTCCTAGGCTAATGCTCAAGAAGTTCTGAGTGCAGCAAGCTGGTGTTTGATCTCCAGCCGTTCTTAGATTTGGCCTGTCTTCGCCTATCCTTCCCAGTCAGAGATGCCATGTGATTTAGAACATGTCAAAATGATTGTCTATCTGAAAAACAGGATGTGTGGGACTCAAATTTGAACTTGAGTTGGCTTCTTGATCTTTAGTAAAAGGGTTATTTCCCTGCTTCATTCTTTCTCCTTTTCTTTAAAAAAAAAAAAATTCCCTTGAATTAGACAGCTGAAGCTTCTTTTCAGAACAACATCAAAGAACTTACTGTTCTTTTAACATGTGATTAACTATTGATTTGTATTTTCCTTTGCCACTGAGAGTAATTAGCATTTAATAGTCAGGAATCTTAATGAAACCTACATAGTACTTTTTGGGTAAAATCTCTGAACAGATTTTTTTTTTATTCATATGCTATGAATTGTTTAGTAAGTGTGAAAAGAAGCAGGAGCATTCTTTTCAGAATTTTATTTTTTGCCATTTCTTTGGCAAACACTTCTCTAATATGTCAACTCTAGATTATTCAAAGATCTAATATTTATTCTCTGTATTCAGTGAGGAGTCTCGCTGGTCCTCCTTCATCCCATTTACTTCCTGGGCTTCTCTTCCCTCACTCTTCAAGTAGACTGAAAAGAGAAAAGAGGTGAAATCCAATGCCATTTTGCATTTTTTTCATTGTTTTAGTAAATTATTTGCTAAAACTGAGGATAGAATAAGGCTTTGAAAAAAGTGATCTGTGGGATATAATTGATGTAACTACATTTCTAACTGAGAATGTGTTTTGGGATAACAAAGTACATACCTGAATTATGTTTGCTCAGCTCCCTGGGAGCTGCAGCAAGCAAAACCTTTATAATGGGGATAAAGTCTGAAACCTTTTTGCAACACTGCCCCTGAGATAGCACAAGTATTTACAATAATATCTAAAAAAAGGAAAAGGCTTTAAAGGATTGTTTATATTCCTAAAGTTACTCGTTTTTATTAAAAAACATTAATAACATTGAGAGTGATCTGGCTCAGAATTGCCAGGTATGAATTTGTCACTTTAAAAATATCCCTCATTGAAGAAGAATTTAAGGAATATTTATCTTTTCTCATAGAGGGTGTGTGTGTGTGTGTGTGTGTGTGTGTGTGTGTGTGTGTGTTTGGTTGAAAGGCTTCAAAACAAAACAACAAAAACTAAATTCCTTGGTGAGTGATTTCTTCCATCAGGACCTTGCTTCTAGGAACTATGCAGTGCCAGATAAAAGGAAACCTTGTTTGTGGCCTGTAGCAGGCCTGGTCTGTTTTCATACAGACATCAGTAAATAGGATGCGGCTGTGGCAGGAGAAGCAAATAGAATACTAAAAAATGTCCTTGTGTTTGTCTTGCTTTCTTTACTCACTGATTCTGATAGTGACTCTAGAAACCAAAGCAATTTAAAAAAATATTTTTTCCTGCATAACTTTAAAATGTCTTGTCCGGTTTTGTAATAATTTCCACCTAGCTATTTTTCATCTTTGGATCCAAACCTAGATCCTAGCCACTCAAGCAAAAAATGTGGCAAGATGTGGACAGAATAAGGTAATAGTGACAGAAAGATGCATGGGGCTTTTGTATTGTTTTTAAAACTCTGCTAATTTTAACTTCAAACTATAAATCAAAAAAAAAAAAAACCTTTCTAAAGCATCAAGCAGGAGCAGCTGTATCAGCAAAACCATGCGGACCAGCAGCTCAGCCTGTCAGGAAATAATATCTCCTGGATCCAGCATTATTGAGAATGATTAACAGTCTACTCTGCTGAAGTGGTTGTTGCTGTTAACTGAACATACGAAGTTTTCCAGAACATATAGAAAGTTTCTTCTTGCATTAATCATACTGTATGCTTCCCCACAATGTTATTACATCTTCAGAATTTCCTAAATGATCCGGGCTTATTAATGAGAAATTACAACTATTACTATTATTTTCAGTCTTAACTACATTGCTGATAATATGAATAACAGGGCTGCCCCAGAGTTCACCTTTGTGAACCCATCCATCTCCCTGTGAATCATGAATCTGCTTATTACAGCCTGGCAATGGGCAAGTAATTTAACCTCTCTGGCACTCAATTTGATTGTCAGTAAAATGAGGACAATAATGCTGCCGAAAGTATGACTTGTTTGGAGAATTAGATCTGAGAACACAGTGTAAAAGTCTCCAGCAGAAAGCCTGGCACGGATTAATCGCTCATTTGTTTTCAGTAAATTCAAAGAATTGTTATCATCAAATTCAGTAACCTTTTGCTAAATTTTATAGAAAAATCCTGTCTTTTTTTTTTCTTTCTTTGTTTTCAGGGAAAATATAGCAGAGATTTCTCTGAAAATTGCTAACTGCACCTAATTCCTGTCGAGTTTTTAATGAAAGCTTTGTGTGAAACCAAAGGGCAATTGGTCCTTCAGACTTTCTCTTAAGAGAATTGTTAAGTGTTTGTGCCTGGGGCACCCAACAGCTTTGCTGGTGATTGTACTGAAAGTAAATACTTTGCTGTATAGAAATTAAATAAGCTGCTGAGAATTAATTGGAATCTGTTCCACATGAGCAGATGTCAACCTCAGGGGCAGGGGCTCAGTGGTTAGATGACCTGGAAGAATTGGGCTTCCTGCTGGTCAGCTTCAGGTTTCCTCCCTCCCTTACCCCTGTCACTACCCTACGGTGGCCCAGTGTCCCCTTGGGCCCTAAAAGAAGTGTTTCTACCTCCCTCGGCTGGGAGTTTGACATTGATTTCACACCATCAGCTTTGTGGTATGACTTCTGTGTTTGAGAGAGCATGGCTTCAAATCTAAACTATGAAAAGATCTTTTCTTTTCTTTTTGTTTACCTAATTGACAAATAACAAATTATTGATACTGTCCTGTATTGGAATACTTTTGGGGAATAATAGTTAGGCTTCACTATTGGAAATGGAAAATGATATACTCTTTCAGGAAGGAAATTTGACCATATGTATATATTACTTTTTATTTTTAGAAATTTTTTTTTTTTTTTTGCCTAAAATTCTGTTTGGAAAGTAGTATGGAGATTCCTTGGAAACCTGGGAATGGAACCAGCATTTGACCCAGCTATCCCACTCCTTGGTTTATACCCAAAGGACTTAAAAACAGCATACTACAGGGACACAGCCACCTCAATGTTTATAGCAGCATAATTCACAATAGCTAAACTGTGGAACCAGCCCAAATGCTCTTCAGTAGATGAATGGATAGGGAAACTTTGGTGTATATGCACAATGGAACATTACTCGGCATTAAAAGAGAATAAAATCATGGCATTTGCAGGTAAATGGATGGAGTTGGAGAATATAATGCTAAGTGAAGCAAGCCAATTCCAGAAAATCAAAGGCCCAATGTTTTCTTTGATATGAGGATGCTGACTCATAATGGCAATGGGGGGTGCATAGGAGGAATGGAGAAACCATAGATAGGGCAAAGGGGAAGGAGGGGAAGGGAAGAAGCAAGGGAGTAGGAATGATAGTGAAATGAGTTAGACATCTATTACCCTAAGTACATGCATGAAGACATGAATGGTGTGAAAATACTTTGTGTACAATCAGTGATTTGAAAAATTGTGCCCTATTATAATATGAAATGAATTGCATTCTGCAATCATGTATAACAAATTAGAATAAATAAATAATTTTTTAAAAATCTTAAAAAAAGAATAGGATGTCTATCATCATCACTTGAAAAAACCAGAACACTTTTTAAAAAAAATTATTTTGAGACAATTATAGATTCACATGCAGTTGTAAGAAATAACATGGAGATTCCATGTGTCCTTTACATAATTTTTCTGAGTGGCAAATCTGTAGTGTAATATCACAACTAGGAGATTGACATTGATGTGACTCAGATATTGAACTTTTCTAGCACAACAAGCATCATGCTTCCTGTTGATAGCCACACCTGTCTCATCCCCTTATCACCTTCCCGAACCCCAGTAGCCACTAATCACTAATCTGCTTTTCCATTTCTATAATTTTGCCATTTTCAAGAATGTTACATAACTGGAATTATACAGGGTGAAATCCCCATTGCTATTTAACATATTTCTTAAGGTTTTAGCTAGTATAATCAGAAAAGAGAGAAATTTTAGGTATAAAAACACAGAAGAGGGCTGGGGATATAGCTCAGTTAGTAAAGTGTATGCACAAGGCCCTGGGTTCAGTCCCCAGCACCACAAAAAAAAAATGAATGAGATAAAAATTTTATTATTATTTGTAGATGTATTATTATTTAAGGACTTACTATTTGAAGGTAA